GGAGCCTCTGTGGTTTAATCATCCTCATTCCTCTTTGGCCAACTAGCCTAGTGCCACCCGCAAGACTCACCCACACAAGAAAGGCCATTCCAGGGAGACTATGTGTGGGGGCTGGCCCTAGATGGGGTCCACTGTAGACCCTTTTGTTCTATGGGGGGAGGAGGAGGAGGCAACCAAACAAAGACCCATTATCTGGCCAATATTGGGGAATTCTACAGCCCCCACTCCCACCCCATTGTCCTGAATCTCCCACCTCAGCATCAATATTATTTACTCACCTCCTGGGACTTCCTTCTTACAGCCTTCTTGGGAATCACAAGGTAACAAGGGAGGTTATTCTTTGGATCTAACTTCTATTCCTCCTGTTATAATACCAATCATTGCCCTTCTCAGTTCAGCTCAATGGTTCTATGAATGGGACAGACGTTGGGACTGAACTCACCCTCCCTCCTGTACTCCAAGACTACCTTTCCCCATTTCTCTCATCACTCCCTTCTCTAACTCCTTATCCTTAATATTTTCTCAGGGTATCTGGAACAGTTCAATATAGCGCATAAGAGTCTAGGTTCTGGGTTTAGGATTCAAGGGCCTGACAGCAGAAAACCTTGGGCTTTGTAATTTACTTCCCTCTCCTGCTGACTTCTCCCTCACCCTCATCCCAGCTTGCCTACTGTCACCCATGGCACCAGGACTCAGGGTAGTTTGGAGAAGGAAAGGATCCATTCAGTCCACTGTTTTGACTTTCTCTTGCTTATCCAATAYTTGTCAGAGGGCAAGGAATGGATGGGCCAACAAATGAGGGAAGACAGATTTAGAGGGACAAGATCTTGGGATCTCATAGAAACTTCCTTCTATTCCATCCACTCACTTAATAGATGAGGAGCCACAGAGAGAATGTGAGGCTCCAAGAAAACAAAAACTGTAAGGAGCTAAGGCCACAACTTCAGGCTCCCTCCTTAGATTATACTTCCTGACTTTTCATTTCTGGAAAACTAAAGTTGGGTACCTCTTGCCCTATTAGGGGATGAGTGGGGAATAGAAGCCAGTGTTTGATCCTGTTTCTTCCCAAACTCTAACACCAATTCCTATCAGATTCTCAGCATGGTTCTGGGGGTATGTTACTGGTTTCCAACCTGGGTCCAGCCATGCCCACTCTAAATGCTGTTCAAACTTTCTTTTACCATCTCCCTTCTCAGAAGATCTTTCCTGACTCCCTCCAAATGATATATATTTTTCTCTGAATACAATACCACCTTCCTGCTTTTGCTCACTGGTTTTTGGCAATAAGGGGTACCACAAAGGCAGTGGGGGGATGCTGAAACCAGCTGAGTTGCAAGGTACCTAGACTGGGGTGGCTCCACTTACCCAAAGAAGAGAAGAGCAGCACAGCCAGGATAGGGCTGGGACTAGATGAGGGAGCCCCAGGAGCCATAGCTGGGGCAGGGGCTAGGGCCCGGAGCATCTGTGGGGTGAAGAGAGTGGGGGACAAGGAACTGAGCGGGGGGTTCCTGGAACCCGCTTAAAATCCCCTGGGGCCCCAGCATGAGGGGGCTGTCCTGAGCCAGTAACCAATTACGGCCTGGCATGTGCAGTTGAGAGGTGGTGGTGGGGGGACAGGGTGCAGAGAGCAGAAGGGGCATTGTATACTCTGGGTGGAGGGATGGGGGGGGACACATACCACCCCACACACAGAGCGCTTTGTGTCTTCTGGCCTTCCCCTGCCCCAGGCTGGAATGTTGGGAGGGAGGTGAAGGAGAGGGACAGAAAAAGGGACACAAACACACTTCTCTGAGGGATAGTTAGGCAGAGAAACCTAAATCCAAAGACCATGAAATGTGATTTCTCCTTAGCCTCCTTGCCTGACGGGAGGCCCCTGAGAGTCCTAGAAGCTATAAGCAATTTTCCCCCAGAGAACTCTGAAAACAGGATATCTTTTGTTATTTTTTAAAAAAATATTTATTTTTAGTTGTAGATGGACACAATACCTTTATTTATTTATTTATTTTTATGTGGTGCTGTGGATCAAACCCAGTGTCTCACATGTGCTAGGCAAGTGCTCTACCACTGAGCTACAGCCCCAACTCTCTTGTTATCTTGATTACGATAGGTTGCATTATAGATTTCTTGAGATGACCAGGTTCTTTGGGAATATCCCTCACCCCACAATGTTCCTGCATCCTGGGAGATGCTTCCCAGAGAGAAACTTGACTGAGAAATTTCAAAGGAAGAAATCCTAGACCTTTCCCTCTTTGTTAAGAAGTTCTTTGATGACTTATGCTGCAGTTTAAGTTCATTTAAATTTAGAGCAAGACAACAAAATTGTACTGAATGCTATATGTAAAGTATGGAAATGCAGGCAATAGAAAGAGGAATAAAAATTACGTCCCTCCTGCAAGTTCAAAATTTAGTTTGGAGGAAGAGGGAGAGAGGATCAGAAAACAAACCCATCAACAACCAATTACAATAAACCATGATGCTTGCTTTAGTAATGAACAAAGAGCTGGGAATACAACAGAGCACACACACAGCTACAGCATTATGAAGGTTAAGTCATGTGAGAGATTAAACACAAAAATAAACTGCATTTAATAAATAAAGTTCAGAGGAAGAGGCAGTCAGGTCTAAGAGGTAATGTTAGATATAGATCAACCTTGAAGGATGAGTGACATTTTGAAAATAAGGAAAGAGCAGAGAGAGTGACCAGATAGATAGAACAACAAAATTAAGTACAAAAATGTGAGAAAATGTGTTTTGTGCATGCATTTTTGTGTGTGTGTGAGCTGGACAGGTTTGTGACGTACTGGGGACACTTAGGGAAGAYCTTGAGCCATCCACTTTAATTTGGGGGAACTTGAAGGGAAAATAAGTCTGAACAGAAAAGTTGAAGCCTTTTCCTAAGGAGCCTTAAATGATAGCTCAAAGAGGGTGGATTTTATCTGATGCATTTTACCCATTTTTTTAAGATTTTGGGGTGGAATTAGGGATGGGAATAGAACTTGGTGACTCAGGAGGCTGAGGCAGGAGGATTGCAAGTCTGAGGCCAGCCTCAGCAACTTAGGGAAATCCTGTTTCAAAATTAAGAATAAAAAGGACTGGGGATGTAGCTCAGTAGTAAAGCACCCCAATACCTACATAAATAATAAGTAAAAGACCTTTTAAAATATTTTTAGGTATAGATGGACACAATACCTTTATTTATTTATTTTTATGTGGTACTGAAGGTTGAACTCAGTGCCTCACCTGTGCTAGGCAAGTGCTCTACCACTGAGCTACAACCCCAGTCCTAAACTGCACAGGTAAAATCATCATCAACAAATGTTGCAATTCTTACCTCTCCCAGCTATAAACAATCACTTTCTTCCTATCTAGTCACCACTTTTAGTTATACCTGTTTTTTGTGTTGACTACTTTCTTTGTTGTATTTCTTCAGGGATCTTGCTAAGGTTATAAATTTGTTGAGGACAATGTATGTCTGTGTCTTTGAATCCCCTGTAGTAGTTTTCAGAGACTGTGGCAGAAACTCAACAGCTCCTATGTGTTAAATAAAATTTCTTAAAAAGCTAAGTAAAGCTAGCCCAGTGGTTCAAAACCAGTCTCAGCAAATTAGTGAAGATCTAAGCAACTTAGCAAGACTCTGTCTCAAAATAAAAAATAAAAAGGGTTGGGGATGTGGCTCAGCAATTAAATGCTTCTCGGTTCAATCCCCAGTACAAAAAACAAACAACACACAAACAAAAAGAAAAAATAAACCCCAAAACAAAAAACCCCAAACAACAACAACAGGCTAAGTGCAAGAGGTCTTCATTTATTTGCTAATGTGATACTCCTGAAGGCCAAAGGAGTATCAATGACTGGAAGTTCAATAGAAGAACAACTTTGTAATGATTAAGCTGTTTACTACCACAGGATGAGTTCGAGCAGTCTAGAAGATCAGCTGTTAGGGATGCTTCAGAAGCGATTTTTGCACTTGGTAGAAGGTTGGATTATAGTGTCTTTAAGGTCCCTTCCAATCCTAAAAAATCTATAATAATGCTTTTTTATTTTTTTTTTTTGTCTAGCATTATAGAAATGCAAAATAGCATTTGGTTCAGAAATAAATGAATTTGTGCTATTTAAATCCTGAAAGTAAAAATTCGGGAGTGCTAAATATAAATGAGATCTGAATATTAATATGCCTTGAACATATTTTATTGTAGAATAGGAGTTCCTCTGGGCTGTGACCTCCACTCCGCCTGTTTCCCTTTCCCTGCAAAAGGGCCAAGAACTTTTGCATTGTTTTATTCCTTTCTCATTTGATTTTTTTTCTCTCTCCAGTCGTGAGTTCTCTGAAATTGATCACCACGCTTGGGTTCCTCAAAACTGTTTATATGCAGTATGTACAAATCAAAGCAGGTTCTCCCCCATATCTCAGGTTCTTCTGATGGTGGGTGTTGCCCACATAGCACTGAAACAAGGAACAAGGGAGCGTTGTCTTTGGCTGGTGGGCGCCTAGCTCAGGCAGCAGCTCAAGCCTAGGAATCCTGAGGCCTGATTAGACGTTCCCCATTCTTGGGTTCCTCATCTTGTTGAGGTGACTGCAAGGTCCTCTCGTGGGCCCATCTCAGACTCCCCTGAGTGGGTCTCAACCTGTGTATCTATCTAACCAAAACATATTAGAATCAGAAGAAGCCCAAAGTATCTTTTTCCCCATTGTCTCAGCCAACCAACTCTGATATTTTTAGGCTGGCCAGGGAGGGAGGTGGAGTCAAATTCAGACTCAGYGAAGACTGTGGGCAATTTTTACTGATTGGAAAGGGGATTAAAAAAAAAATGAACGCGTACGCGGGTGGCAGATTCTAAACCCAGCGGAATCTCTGCTGCAGTCCTGGCAAAAACCGTTAGGAAGAGGGGAAGAACAAACCATTTCCGAACGTCTGCCACCAAAAGCGCAGAACCTAGAGCAGCGTCGCGGAGCCTTTTAAAGAACTCGGTGTCATCACGTGACGACTCTTCCCKGGCTTCACCMCCCCCCCAGCTCAGACGCCCCGCCGCTTGCGTCACTTCCGTCCAGACCGGAACCCAAGATGGCTGTGCTCTTGTTGAGGTGACTTTAGCGCGGGGGTTGGGAGTCGGTGTCCGCGACCCTTGGGAGACCAGAACGGATCCTTAACGTTTGGCTGACAGCGCTTTACCCTGTGCCTGGGCTGGGAAATGACCCGTGGGTGTGGAGGCCACCGCTCCGGGATCCTAGAGACACCCCCCTCCCCCAGCCGCTTGGGTGCAGCTCGGTAGGGCTTTGAGGTCACTTAACTAAGTACCGAGGAGTGGCGCGGTTCTTGCCCTTTCTACTTTCTCCTGCTTTAGTACTTCTCCCCCAGATTACTCTCGTGACCCCACCCAGAGCCGAGACCCGAAAATATTCTAACTCAGCTGACCCTGAGTTTTACAATTTCGAGATCTTATTTAGGGATTGGGCTTCGGGGCGGAGGGAGAGATCTCGGTGTTCTTACTTTTGCTTCTAACTTCTGCAGACACCAGCGGTTGCTGGCAATGGGTGACTCTGTCCAGGTTCCCGACAGGCCCCTAGCAGAGGATGGAAGAAGCCTGGACCGCGATTAGCAATAATAACAACGAGAGGTCCTCTGCTGCACCCTAGGGAGTTCGTTTTTAGTTTATCTTTCTACTTGGGGTTAAAGGGCGATGATCCCAGCTTTTCTCTAAAAGGTCAATTCACTATCGGTAGTAATAGCCTAGATTTTCTTCCATTTAGAACTCTCCACTGTTTAGGTCTCATTTTCTACTCCCAAGCCTTTCAAGTCCTTAGCCTCTAACGCCTGTGGATATTCCTGGTACAAATCCCAGTATAATTTTGTGCCAGCCCTATTTTTGGAAACTATTTGTTATGGAAAGTTAGCTTAAATGCTGTTGAGATTTCAATTCCCGATTTCTCCAAATGTCTTCTCATTTCTCTTTCCACTTCAGTCAGGCAATATAAAAATAGGGGATTTTGTTTAGTTTTTCTCTGTGACGAAATTATTCCTCTTGGGAGTTGAGATCAGTTATTTAATCCTTCATTTTCTCTTTGCCTTTTATCTTCATATGTATCTTTTCTCTCAGATATGCCGAGGCCAGTCTTGCTGGAGCTCCTTCCTTTTTTCCAGTTGACTTGATCATAATTGAATGACGTTGGATTTTGATATCATTTTAGTAGATGTTAGGAGCTTTTGGAGGAGTTAACATTTAGCTTGAAATGATCGTATTTGTTCTAAACAGTTCATTTGATGAGCTTCAGGATTAGTGATTAGAAGCTGAGGGTCATTACAGTCACCCCTTATTATCCTTGGGTTTTGTCTCCATGGGTTCAAATACTTGAAAAACAAATTCCAGAAAGTTACAAGAAGTTATTTGAATTTGCTGCCTGCCAAGCATTATGCTGAGTCCACATAAATGAAGTAGTGTTTAGGCATACTGCGTTAGCCTCCCACTATTTCATAGATCCTCAGTCTCTCCTCTCTGCAGAATTTACTATTTCAGAGTTAATTGCTACACTTTCTGTTTACATACTGTGCAGTCTTCAACTATGATTGTTGTACCTGGACTGCACTATGTATTTTTTTTCTTTGTGGTTCCTTAAATAATACAATGTAACAACTATTCACACAGCATTCACATTATATTGGCCATTCTGAATATCTAGAGATGATTAAAGTATATAGGAATAGCTGTATTTGTTGGCTAATGCCTGTAATCCCAGGAACTCAGGAGGCTCKGGCAGAAGGATCACTAATTCCAGGCCAGCCTCAGCAATTTAGTGAGATTTTATCTGAAAAAGAGGGGGGAGTGGGCATTGCTGGGGATGTAACTCAGTTGTAAAGCACCCCAGCATTCAATCCCCAGCCAAAAGATTTAAAAAAATAAATAAATAAGGTGAATGTACATAGGATATATGCAGTCACCACATGATTTTATAGAAGGGATATAGGCATCCATGGGTTTTGGTATCTGCTGAGGGTCCTGCAGCTAATCCCCTGTAAGCCATATTCATTAAAGTGTATCCAGACAGTGTCATTTTATGTTGTGTAGCACTGTTCTGTCCATACTAGGATTCAATGCCAAGAAATACACTTCTTTTTCATTAGTGGTAACCTTAAGCTCTTATGGAAGGGCACTTTTCTATTTCTCACAAGGGCTTTTATTTATTTATTGGATGGAGAAATAGTGAATTAAAACTGTTTTTCCCCATAGAAGATTCCATCCTAATACCAATTCTCTAGAGGAATTTGATACTGTTTATAGTATGCTGATTTTAATCTCAAAGGAAGGTATCTTTTAAGAAATTGTAAGAGTTGCTTTTCACTTATTTTAGACAAGTCAGGTTCCTTAGTTCTATGATTGTAGTTTCTTCATTTGTGAGTTGAAAATAGTAATAACTTGAGCCCACTTAGGAGAAATAATAAATTTCACAAAATGTGTATTTTCACTTGATGAATAAAAATTGTGTATATTTATGGTGTACAATTTGATGTTCTAAAATATGTATACATTGTGCTAAATATAGCTAGTCAACATATGTAGTACCCATGTACTTGTGTGTATGTGTATGTGTGTAATACTTGAAATCTACTCTAAGGAGTTTGGGGCGGAGGGTGGGGGGTACCAGGGACTGGACCCAGAGGCGTTTAACCACGGAGCCRCATCCCTAGACCTTTTTATATTTTATTTAGAGACAGGGTCTCGCTGAGTTACTGAAGTTCAATCTAATCTCAAAATCCTCCTGCCTCAGCTTCCTGAGTTGCTGGGATTACAGTTGTATGCCACCGTGCTGGCTCTAAGCAATTTTTTTTTTTTTTCCTTTTTCTGGTACCTGGGATTAAACTCAGGGGTGCCCTACCACTAAGTTACATCCCCAGCCCTTTTTAAAAAAATTTATTTGCAGACAGGGCCTCAGTAACTTGCCAGAGCTGGTCTTGAACTGATCCTCCTGCTTCAGCCCCTTGAGTAGCTGGGTGTGCCACCATGCCCAGCTGCAGTTTTCAAGTGTGTAATACATTGTTATTAACTATAAATCACCACTTTAAACACTGAACAATATAGACATGTATAAAGGTATTCTGTAGTACTTCCATTAATATGTACAATTTTTTATGTATCAGTTAAAGTTTATACATTTTTTAAATTTAAATCGAAAATCACCATGTTTTCAAGAAAGCTCTAGAGCTTATTTGTATGTAAGTAAAATTTTCTATCCATTACCACCATTTCCCTAAACTCTTCCCTTCTCCCTCTTAAATAATTTTATTTCTTTGTACTGAGGATTGAACCCAGGGATGCTTTACTACTGTGCTACATCTCCAGTCTTTTTTATTTTTACTCTATTTTTTGGTATCAGGATTGAACCCAAGGTTGCTTAACCACTGAGCCACATCCCCAGTCCTTTTTTATGTTTATTTTGAGGCGGGATCTCTAAGTCCTTAGGGTCTTAGAGACCCTATGGTTTCACTAAATTGCTGAGGTTGATCTTGAATTTAGGTTCCAGTTCCTCCTGCCTGGGTTGCTGGGATTACAGATGTGCTCCACTGTACTGGATTCAGTCCTTTTTATTTTTTATTTTGAGAGCCTCCTGCCTCAGTCTTTTAAGTTGTTGGGATTATATCAGTGCACTCCCACTCTTGGCTCCAGTTAAAAATTTTTGATGCTTGGCTAATTAAAAATTATTAGTTACCTGTAATCCCAGTGGCTCAGGAGACGGAGGAAGGAGGATCGAAAGTGCAAAGCCAACCTCATCAAAAKCGAGGCACTAAACAACTCAGTGAGACCCTGTCTCTAAATAAAATATGAAAATAGGGCTRGGGATGTGGTTCAGTGGTTGAGTGCCCCTGATTTCAATCCCCAGTTTCCCCTCCAAAAAAGAATATTATATTTCATAGCCTTTGAATAGTGCTTCATATTTTGTAACAGTCCAGGGACCAGCCAGAGCTGTTCACAGCTGAGTAACACGAATTCCATTAACACTCAGTCAAGGAATGACTTTCCAAGGCCAAGAAGGAGATAGATAGAGACAGCTGGGCTTCCATGTAATAATGTTTATGCCACTTAAGCACAGTCACTGTGATTCAACTGTCTGGCCAATATATGTAGCACARTGGTAGGGTGCTTGCCTAGCATGTGTGAGGCCCTTGGTGTGATCCCCAGCACTAGGGGAAAAAGAAAAAAATTAGTTTTAGTTCTCAGTTATTGTAGGTGCTATCAATGTCAGGAATTTCAGCCCTTGTGGAGCTCAAAGTCTAGAAGGAGAGATAAATAGATGAATCATTAAACAACATAGCAAATGATGATAGAAACATGTATGAGAGCCTGGCGGATAGAGCAAGCCTGAAGAAGTGACTTGATCTTGCCATCTAGGAGTTGGATTTTGATGGATGAGTTTAAGAGGCTGTAAGGAGGGCTGGGGATGTGGCTCAAGTAGTAGCGCGCTTGCCTAGCATGCGTGAGGCACTGGGTTCGATCCTCAGCACCACATAAAAATAAAATAAAGATATTGTCCACCTAAAGCTAAAAAATAAATATTAAGAAAAAAAGAGGCTTTAAGGAGTTCCAATTAGAAGAGCATGAGCAAAGACTTGTAGTCATAAGGAGGCTTGTTCTGTCTGGGCATAATGTAATGTTCAGTGTGTCAGAAGTATAGGGGACTGATGGGAATTTGTGAGAGGGTAGGTCTGGAGAGTTTGCCCACACTTTGACTCTTATATAGCAATGCAAGTAGTGGATGTAAGAATGAGAGTAACTTTATTTTTCAGTACATTCATGTTGGTGAAGTTGAATTATAGGGAAGAGACTGTTGCTAGGTAGGTCAGTTCAGAAGCTCCTGTTACAGTTCTGGGGAGAAATATATAAAGAAGATATGGACTAAAGTAATGGACTGGAATGAAGTTTTCTAAATAGTAATGGTAGAATTGGATGATGCCATGCATATATATAGGTGGTGACAGAAAAGGAGAAGTCAAAGATGACTTATGTTATAGCTTGGGAGTTAGTGTCAGATGCACACCTATGACCCCAGTGATTCCCGAAGCTGGGCTGAGGCAGGAGGATTGCAAGTTGGAGGCCAGCCTCAGCAACTTAGCACAACCCTGTCTCAAAATTAAAAGAGACTGGGGATATAGCTCAGTAGTAAAAATGCCCTGGGTTCAATCACTCTTACCAAAAAAATAAATTGTTCATTTAATTTAAGATTATATGTATCTATTTTATTATTGCAAATGCAGATGTTTATAAGACCTTTTCAATGCCATCAAATCAAAGAAACTCATTATATTGCAGTCATGTCTTGTTTTGAATTAAAAATGGTCTTCAGTTTGATCACAGACATGGCTTTGAATAACCTTTTTTTTTTTTTCCAAATGAGTGTTTTTATCATCACTGAATGTTTTGAAGAAAATGTGATAAGAATTCTAAAGACCAATGAAGTTCTTGGGGAGACCAATGAACTGATCTCTTACACATAAGTGGTGTATTATAGTCCAGAGAATGCTTTCCTGTATGTTTTCTTCCTTTCTTCTTCTTCTTTTTTTTTTTTTTATTTTCTTTTGCATTGGGATTGACCCCGTGGGCGTTTAACCACTGAGAAACATCCCCAGTTTTTTAAAAAAATGTTATTTATTTATTTATTTATGGTGATGGGAATTGAACCCATGGCCTTGTGCATGCAAGGCAAGTACTCTACCAACTGAGCTGTATCCACAGCTCCCCCCCCCCTTTTTTTAAAAATTATTTTTAAATTTTGAGACAGGGTCTTGCTAAGTTGCTGAGACTATCTTTGAACTTGTGTGCCTCCTGCCTCAGCCTCCCTCAAATTCCCAGTGTTCAGCCCAGCCCAGTTGGGAGATTATAGGCATGTTCATGGCTCTTGTACATTTTCTTATGTAATTCTCCCAACAATCAATAAGGGTAGATATTATCAATCCCATTTTATAAATTAAAAGGTTGAAGTTTAGTGACTTACTCAAGTTACACAACTCAAGTTACAGATCTAAGACTATCATTTTTACTTTGCAGTGTTCTTTTTCTAGTACTGTTGTTGCCCCAATCCAGAGAAGAGTTTCAAAAATTATTTGACTTTTATAATTCCAGTGACTGGGGAAGCTGAGGCAGGAGGATTGAAAATTAAAGACCAGTCTCAACAATTTAGTGAGACCCTTAGCAACTTAGCAAGAGCCTGTCTGAATATAAAAAATAAAAGTACTGGGGAATTAGTTTAGTGGAAAAGCTGTTCAATCCCTGGTATCAAAAAACAATAGCAAAAACAACAAACCAACAATGATCCAATTAATGATTACATTTTTTGTATAGTGTGTTTAGAAAGGGACAATGCTTAGTAGAAATTATAGGTTCTGACTTAAAGATAATATGAAGTTTTGTTACTTTCTAGAGCTAATATTTTAAGCACCATTCATGGGTGGAGAAAGAAAGTCTTTTCAAAGTTCCTGGTTTCACATGAAACACAAGGATAGATATCTACTTTTGTCATATTTTAAATAAGGTTATGAAGTTTGTGCAACTCAATCTGTAAGGCCCTTGTGGAAATCTTGCATTGATATTTGTCTGGGAAACAATAGCACTAGACAGAGCACGCCATAGATTCCAACCCACATCTGCAAACTCTTACTGGGTAGCTGGCTGACTAGGCCTAGCCTGGTGTGAGGAATGCATGCCCTGCAACTTCATAGACAATTCAATTGATTTAAAGAGATTTGTKCCCACTTCTTTCTGGGAGCATTGGGTACACAATGTCTGTATTCACCTCTTGCCTCCAAAGCAGGGAAGAGGGAAGAACCAAAGAAGGAAGTATTGGTTGGATTTTTCCCTTCAAGTAGTGGGCCCTTTAAGTGTAYTGTTATAAAACATAGACCTTGAAATGTTTGTGGATCTAGTGTCAGTGGCATGAGGAACATCATGAGCTCTATTAATCYCCGTAGTGTCTTGCATGTAGTAGATGCATAATAAACTTCTTTCCCCTTTTTTGAAGGGGATATTAAAAAATTGAGACGGTCTTGCTAAGTTGCCTATGGGCTCACTGAGTTGCTGAGGCTGACCTTGAACTTGCAATCCTCTTGCCTTAGCCTCCCAATTGCTGGGACTATAGGCTTGTGCCACCAAACCTGGCACACAATAACTTTTGAAGAGCACCATATTTTTAATTTTTACTTCTAGAACTTAATTCATCGTGATCACTTTCTGAAATACTTTTGTACAGATTTGATGTATTGATGTGACTAAAAGGTATAATGGTTTTTGTGTTTTTTATAATGCTTTGTAAACTTTGGGTCACATTTTTCTTTTCTTTTTTTTTAAAGAGAGAGTGAGAGAGGAGAGAGAGAGAGAGAGAGAATTTTTAATATTTATTTTTTAGTTCTCGGCGGACACAACATCTTTGTTGGTATGTGGTGCTGAGGATCGAACCCGGGCCGCACGCATGCCAGGMGAGCGCACTACCACTTGAGCCACATCCCCAGCCCCCACATTTTTCTTATATAAAATGTCTGGTCACATGTTAGTTTTTGACTTAAAAATCAGTTCTGGCACTAAAGTACATACTTCAAAAATAGCAACTTTTTAGTTAGGRAATTTACATGTCCTTTTAAAGTGGGAGTGGTAAAATTTTACCTTTTTGTGGTAGTGGTAAAATTTTATTTTTGTGTTCCMATATTTTTTGCACTATTATATGAGAGGCTTTTTTTTTTTTTTTTAAATGACTTTTTGACTTGAAGTTCATCCAGGTTGTCTGGAACTTTGTATTAATTCCTGAAATGACCTAGCTTACTATTAGGACCCTCATTCTGTGAATCCCTTCTTCAAATTTTAGTTCATTCATTTGCAACATATCTCCACTATAGCTAAACTGTGTGCTTGATGTTGCCTGTGGCTTACTGTTCTGTTCTGTTTTGTACTGCCCTTTATGTTTTTTAAATTTATTTTTTAGTTACAGGTGGACACAATACCTTTATTTTTATGTGGTAGGCCTCTCCCATGCTAGGCAAGCACACTACCTCTAGTGCAGCCACAACCCTAGCCCCTGCCCTTTATGTTTTTAATCCCTGTCTTTTAAGTGTTGCCTCCTATGGGACCTATCTTTAAAAAAATCACTTTCTGTATTCTGTTGAATATTATCAACTCTAATTGTTATTATTTTTTGCATTATTGGGGATTAAACCGGGAGGCACTCTACCACTGAGCCACATCCTCAGTCCTTTTATTTCTTATTTTGAGACAGTCTTGATAAACTGCTGAGCCTGGCCTGGAACTGGGAATCCTCCTATCTCAGCCTTTTAAGTCACTGGGATTACTTGTGTGCGCCATCACAGCTGGTCCAGCTCTGATTATTCTTTTACCTTATATTTTGTTATTTGTCTGGGAAACAGTAGCACTGACAGAGCACGCCATAGATTCCAACCTACATCTGCAAAATAGTCATTCCTAGTCTGTTGGTGTTAATTGCCTTTTTTTCTTCTTCTGTTTTAAATTCTTATTTTGAAAAAGTTAAATTTTATTTTGCATTTATAGGTAATACTTCTAATCATTCTTAAGTTACTAAGAATTTGTAGTATTTCAACTAGAAAATAGGGACACTGATAATGACTTTGTTTTCATCTTATTTTTTGGTGCTGGGGATGGGAACCCAGAGTCCTCTGCCTGCTAAGTATGCTGTACTGCTGAGTTGCATCCTCGGCCTTCATCTTATTTTTATTCTAGCCATCTTCCCCCAAGTCTAATATAGTACAAAAATGGGATGCTGATATATTAAAATTGACCTTTAAATATGTATGATTCTTGATTCTCTTATCTTGCAGACATGTTGGCCGTCATTGCCTCCGAGCTCACCTAAGTCCTCAGCTCTATGTCAGAAAGTAAGTCTCCAAGTCTGTGGAGATTATTATTATTATTTTCTTTGTTATGATACTTCTTTTTTTAAAATTCTGAGACAAGGTATTCCAAGTTGCCGAGGTGCTGAGACTGGCCTTGAACTTGAATCCTCTTGCCTCAGCCTCCTGAGTCTCTAGGATTACAGGAGTGCACCACTATAGATGGCCAGTCTTATTGCTATTTTTTTTTTTTTTTTTTGTACTGGGGATCAAACCCAGGGGCACTCAGTCACTGAGTGACATCCCCAGCCTTGTTTTTGTATTTTGAGACAGGGTCTCCTTAAGTTGCTTAGGGCCTCATTAAGTTGCTGAGGCTGGCTTTGAACCTGCAGTCTTCCTTCCTCAGCCTCTCAAGCCACTGGGATTACAGGCGTGTGCCCCCATGCCTGGTGAGAGCTTTATTGAAATTTTTAACTTCACTGATTTGCTCCAACTTTTTTTTTTTTTAATTTTAATTTGTGCTCCAACTTCTTGATTCCTTCACTGATATTTAATTCTCCTTTTTCTACTTTGTATTTTTTCCTTAATAATATTTTTTTGTAATTTTTAATTTTAGGCAATTTCACATCTTAATTAGTTGTAAAATATTTTCCCCCTGCTAAACAGTCATTCCTAGTCTTTTGGTGTTAATTGCCTTTTTTTTCCTTCTTTTTTAAATTCTTATTTTGAAAAAAAATTTTATACTTTCAGAAAAGTTATAAAGTAGTATGATGAAATTCAATACAACTTTTATCCAGATTTATCAATTGTTAACATTTTGCTGTTTGTTTATTCATTCTATTTTAGGTTGTATCATATGAAACAGTTATTTTTATAGGTCAAAAGTAGTTGAATAGTTGTCAATTTATTGTGCTTCAGCCTAATATATATTTATTATTTTCACAGAATTCTTTTAGAGTAAGTTGTGAACAGCATGATATTTTACCTGTAACTGTTTCTTCTGAGAACAAGAAATTAYCTTACATAACACAGCATAGTTATACAAGCATAATTATCAAATTTAGGAAATTTAATGTTGATGAATGCTTATCTAATGCACAGTTGATTTTCAGATTTTCTATTTTTTCCAAATAACGTACTTTATGAAATCCAGTATCTCATTTTCTACCCAAGATCTWACTAGACTCACGTGTACTTAGTTGTCATATTTCTTTAATATTTTAAAATCTGAAACTGTGTCTTAGTCTTTATCTTTTATGGCTGAATTCTTGAAGACTACAGTACAGTTATTTTGTAGTGTTAGCTGAGTTTTCGTGATTGTTTCCTAGCCCCAAGGTTATTAACTGAAGCAAACTTGGCATAAAAATAATACTATTGGAGGAACATGTTTTCCTAAGTTGTTGGGTTTGTCTTTGTCAAGCTCACCTTACTTTTTTTTTWAAATTTTTGTTATATAAAATATGAAACTGCCAGCACCAGGAGTCTCAGGAGGCTGAGGCAGGAAGATTGCAAGTTCAAGGTCAGCCTGGCCTGGGGATGTAGCTCAGTGGTAGAGTACCTAGGGCTTAGTCCTCAGTGTCACYAAAAAACAAACAAATGAAATTAAACCAAGCTTACTTTTAATCCATTTTTAATCTTCTGGTTTTATTTTAGTGCTATTCCGATGGGAACCACAGCCAAAGAAGAGATGGAGCGGTTCTGGAATAAGAACACAAGTTCAAACCGTCCTGTATCTCCCCATATTACTATCTACAGGTAAAGTCTCTGGAGCCAGAGAATCTAGAGGTGATGGGTAAAAGTTCTGGAGGTTGTCCTTAGCCTCCCTGATATTCTCTGCAATTGGAGGGAAATATTTGCTCAGATGGAAAGTAGCTGTGTAGATGAGATACCCTTCACAGTAGAGGGAAATAACTTATCAGGCCTTTTWAAATTTGGACATGATTTAAGTCTATCGTCTAGCCTTAATCTATCTTGCAATACTACTATTTAGGAAATTCTAATGTGTCCCAATACAGTTTCCACTAATTAAAATGTTTTGAGTCTGTTGAGGTGGTGCATACTTGTAAATCTCATCTACTCAGGATGCTAAGGCAGGACACTCTGAAGTTTGAGGTTAGTCTGGGCTACTTAGGGAGACCCTGTCTCAAAATTAAAAACATAAAAAGGACTGGGAATTTAGTTCTGTGGTAGAGTGCTTATCTAGCCTGTGGGAGGTCTCTGGGTTCAATCCCCAGTACAAAGCTTTTAAAAAAATGTTGAGATAATTTCAAATATACATACAAGTTGCAGAAATAATTATACAGAGTTCCCATATACCTTTATGCAGATTCCCAGATTGTTGACATATCTGAATGAGTTAAGAACAGGTTTTTCTTTTCTTTACTCTTTCTTTCTTTTTTATCATACTGGGTTCCTTTTACATGGTAGGTAAGTGATCTACCTTTGAGTTCCCTCTCCAGCCCTTTTAAAACTTAGTGACTAAAAATAACAGAATTTCATAGTCTTAACAGTTCTGTAGTATAGAAGTGTGACATAGATTTCAAATGAAGGTGTTAGCAAGGGCTGCGTTCTTTTCCATTGGCTCTAGGTAAAAATCCATTACTTTACCAATTCTAGCTTCTGGATGCTATCCACATTCCTTGGCTTGTGGCCTTGTTTTTCCACCTTCAAAGCAAGCAACAGCAGATTTGTTCTCACTTTATATCATTCTAATCTATTTTGCCTCTCCCTTCTACTTTTAAGGACTCTAATAATTACATTTGAACTGATCTGCCTATCCCAGTCCCCCCGAGATTGTTTGTCCCATGGGCAGAATACATTCACCCCATCCCATTGGCCCCAAAAGTTTTAACCCATTATAGCATTGACTCCAAGTTTTAAAATTTCATCTAAATATCAAAATTAGATATGGGTGAGACTCTGAGTRTAATACTTCCTGAGGTGCATTTAATTGTCTTCTGTAAAACTCAAGACACAATCTACTTAGAATGRGGAGTGTGGCTCAGTGGTAGAGCATGTCCTTAACATGAGCAAAGCCCTGGGTTTAATTCCCAGAACTGCAAAAGGAAAAAAAAAATCATATTTGTACTGAGCATGTACGTATTTTTTTCTTGTCATTATTCCTTAATCAATGCCGTATTAACTATTTATACATTGTAATGCCRTATTAACAACTATTTATATATTGTAAATGCTCTTGTACTATAGCATATGGTTTTAAAGGCCAGAACTCTAACACAGGTCTACTTATGCTAAAATCAAGACGCTATAAAGGCTGTTTTTCCTTCTGGAGGCTATAAGAAAGAATCTATTTCCTTTTTCAGTTTTTGAAGGCTGCCCAAATTCCTTGCCATGTGGCTTCCTTCCTCCATCTTTGGTGCCAGCAGTGGGGGGTCTAGTTTTCCCATCTTATCATGTTAACTTGGCTTCCATCATCTCAATTATCTATCTTTCTGTTGCCAGTCTCTTCCATTTTTGAAGACCTTGTGGTTGTATTGGGTCCATTTGCCTAATCCGAATGGACTCTGATCTTAAAGTTAGGAACCTTAATTTTATCCCCTAATTCTCCTTTTCCCATATAAGGTAACATAGCTTCTAGAGATGTCATAGATATCTTCAATGAGTTTATTATTCTGCTTACCAGAACCCCTTAATATTGTGTATGTGTTTTATCAGAGACACTCTCCACAGTACAACCATCGTAATCAGAAAATTTAACACTAATCCAGCTCTGCCATCTGAACTTAAGGTCTGGTCAGATTTTGCCAGTTGTCTCAGTAATGTCCATTGTAGGTCCAAGATAGAACACAGAATTTTATGTTGTATTTAGTTGTCATCTCTTTAATTTCTTTCAGTATGGAACAGTTTTCATCTTTTCTTATTTTTATGACCTTGGCATTTTTAGGATGTTCCTCCAATTTGGCTTTGTCTCATGTACTTTTGATTTATATATTGTTGGCAGGCTCCTGAGTTGATGCTGTGTTCTTCTCAGTATATTATTTCAGGAGGTACATGATGATGATTTAATCCATTATTGGTGATATGAGGCTTTTTTTGGTGGGGGGAGCAGTTACTGGGATTGAACTCAGGGGCACTTGACCACTAAGCCACATCTCCAGCCATTTTTTGTTTTTTATTTAGGAAYAGAGTCTCACCAAGTTGCTTAGCACCTCACCATTGCCAAGGCTGGCTTTGTACTCTCGATCCTACTGTCTCGGCCTCCYGAGCCATTGGGATTACAGGCATGCACCACTGTGCCCAGCTGATATGAGCTTTTATCACTGGTTAAGATATGTTTACTGGATTTTTTCATGTAAAGTTGGCATATTTAATAATTAATAATATTTTGTGGGAAGATACTTTGAAACTCTAAATATTCTGTTTTTCATCAGACATTTACCCAACAACATCTGTGGATAATATTTTACTTAATCAGGTTATTACTCTGATGGTTGCCAAACTGTGATTTTTCTAATTCCATGTCCCATCTAGATTTATTTATTTCTATAGAGTAAAGTTTGCCTTCTTTATCAGTATGGAGTCAGGGATTCTTATTTTGCTGAGAGGGTTGTACTCTGTTAGTTTCATTTTATTTTGATGTTCAGATGGTGCCAGACTTGACAAATGGACCCCCCCCTCCTTTTTTTTTTTTTTTTTTTGGTACTAGAGATAGAACTCAGGAACATTTTACCACTGAACTACATCCCCCAGTCCTTTTTTTATTATTTTGAGATAGTGCCTCCCTAAGTTACTGAGTCTGGCCTTGAACTTGTAATCCTCTTGCCTTAACCTCTCAAGTTGTAGGTACATCAGGTATGTACCAACCACAATTGGCTCAGTGGGTATTGATGGCTTCTGTGAAATGAGTATTTGGTTGTTAGATGTGCTTGGTACTACCAGTATGTCATTGTTTCTAGGCCCTCTCAGTGGACAGAGCTAAGATAAATATGGACCCAATCATACCCCACTGTGTATATGTGACTATATATACAGTGTATATAGCTGGTGCCTCCTAAGATAAGTCCCTGTTGATCTGCTTTTTTTTTTTTTTTTTTTTTTAAGCCAACCCAGCAACATCTTGAGCTCTGCTACCCTCTACTTGGTTTCCTGCCAGTGAGGCTGGCCATTTTTTAACCACCTCCACAAATACCACAGCCCTTCAGTTTTTTCCCCAACCCAAATTCCAGGAATAATTCTGATGGCAGGAATTAGACATTTTACTAAAATAAAAGTAGGCTAATAAGTGATCTTAGTTATTTTTTGAGGGCACAGGGGCATTAAAGATTGAACCCTGAGTTACATTCCCAGTCCTTTTTAAAAAAATTTTTTGTTTTATTTTATTTTGAGACAGGTCTCACTAAATTGCTAAGGGCCTCACTAAATTGCTGAGACTGGCCTCAAACCTGTAATCATTCTGCTTCAGCCTCCAAGCCACTGTAATCCCTGGCTAGTGATCTCAATTCTTAATATCTCATGGTGAAACTTTTAATTTTTTATTTATTTATTTTTTTAGTTGTAATGAACACAATACCTTTGTTTTATTTATTTATTTTTATGTGGTGCTGAGGATCAGACCCAGTGCCTCAGATGTGCTAGGCAAGTGCTCTACCACTGAGCTATAACCCCAGTCCCTGGTGAAACTTTTTTTTTCCCAAAGATAAATGTTTGTTTTTTTTTTGTTTTTTGTTTTTTTTTTTTTTGGTGGGGAGGGAGGATTGTAATTATGGAGAACTTCCCAAGTTATTCTCAATTTATATTAAAAGCCTTGATCTTTTTTTACAAGTCACACACACACACACACACACACAAAAAAAAAAAATGGTAGTAGGCTGCTGAGGTAAGCCTACCACTATTTTGTTTGCTCTTCCAGTAATGGAACTTCATACACACTTGTGAGATACAAAAAGGAAACATCAAGGAATATGGGCCTGTTTCAAGGGTGACATGTCAGAGAAATRTATCTGTGATATTTGAAATCATACTTTTATTGGTAACTTCTGGAGTGTTTTGGAAGAGAGATTGTTGAGCATCTTTTCATGTATATCTTCCTTGGAGAAATGCTTTTTCTTTACTTTCTTTTTTTTTGAATCAGGAATTGAACCCAGAGGTGCTTAGCCTCTGAGCCATATCCCCAGCCCTTTTAAAAAAAAAATTAAAAATTAAAAAAAAATTTATTATCCCCAGCATTTTTAAAATGTTTTATTTTGAGACAGTGTCTCACTAAATTGCTGAGGCTGGCTTTGATTTTGTGATCTTCCTGTGTCAGCCTTCTGAGTTGCTGGAATTGCAAGCATTTGCCACCATGTCTGGCTCTCATTTTTTTGTGTGTGTGTGGTACTGGCAGTTAAACTCAGGGGTACATAACCACTGAGCTACATCTCTTGCCCTTTTATTTTTTTTTAATTTTGAAACAGTGCCTTCCTAAATGCCCAGGCTGGCCTGGAACTTGTGATTCTCCTGCCTCAGCTTCTGGAGCTGCTGGGATTGTAGTTGTGTGTTACCATGTCTTTTTACTTTCTTGAAGGTATTRTTTGTAGCACAATTGTTAGATCACTTGCTGAAATTCATATATTCTTATGTTTCTAGTTGCCTACAATTGTATTAACAAAGTCAAAAAACAGAAAAGTAGACTTTTTTTTTTTTTTAATGATTCCCAGTATGTTTGATACTCTTTTAGGAGTTGGAAATGGATAAAATAATAAACTTCAAAAAGGATCTCAGGCTTGGCCCTGTGGTGAGTGCCTATAACCCTTGTTACTTGGGAGACTGAGGCAGAAGAATGGTAAATTCGCCAGCCTGGGCAAATTAGTGAGACCCTGTCTCAAAATAATAAGGACTGGGAATGTAGTTTTGTGATAGAGTTCAGTCCCCAGTGCTGGAGAAAAAAAAAGAAAGAAAGAAAAGAAAAACCTCAGTATTTCCTGAAAAATTTTTTTTTTCTAAGTGAAATCATACTGATTTCTACTTTTTGTAAGTGAATTAAAATAGTCTTGGTTTTCTGTACTAGCCTCTTAATGACTGAACAGGGAGTAGTGGTAGTGATTATCTTTATTCTATGATGTTTRGAATCTCAACTGGAAAACACAGTCTAAGGGTTAAACTAATCTCAAGTTCTGTTTGCTTACATGTCTTAGGTTGATCCTGGCTATTGGGAGTGGCCCTTATTTTCTCCACATGGGCTGTTTCCCATAATTTTTAAATTTTGAATTCTTGTTGTTTTATTTTGTGGTGCTGGGCATCGAACCCAGGGCCATGTGCATGCTAGGCAAGCACTCTCCCACTGAGCTACATTCTTGGTACCAATTCTTTTTTTTTTTTTTTTTTTAAGAGAGAGTGGGAGAGAGAGAGAGAGAGAGAATTTTTTAATATTTATTTTTTAATTCTCGGCGGACACAACATCTTTGTTTGTATGTAGTGCTGAGGATCGAACCCCGGCCGCACGCATGCCAGGCGAGCGCGCTGCCACTTGAGCCACATCCCCAGCCCGGTACCAATTCTTTTCTTTTCTTTTTTTTTTTTGATATACCCATAAACTCTTTGCATTGACTACTTTGGGCTTCCTCATAGCATGAGGAAGGGAAATTTGGAAGTCATGCATGTTTATTTCTTCTGTGTTCTGTTTCTTGAAGCAATTAGTCATGAAGTTCTGCCTGGATTTAAAGGAAGGGACTAAATACTTGGTAAAGAATGACAAGATTCTGGAAGAGCATGTGGTACAAGAAGTAATGTTGTGGTTAATTTTGGCAAGTAGAATGTCCTTTACCCACTCAGTACTAGGCTAACTGGGTTATTATGGTTTAATGACTTTTGAAAATTAGGGTAGCCGGGCATGTTGGTTCATGCCCTGGAGGACTGCAAGTTCAAGTCCAGCTTCAGCAAATTGGCAAGACCCTGTCTCAAAAAATTTTTAAAAATGGACTAAGGATATGCCCCTGGGTTCAATTCCTGCTACTAAAGAAATAAAATTATGGTAACATTTGCCAGGTGAGGTGGTGCATTCCTGTAATCCCAGTGGCTCAGAAGGCTGAGGTGGGAGGATTGTGATTTCAAAGCTAGCCTCAGCAAAAAATGAGTTGCTAAGCAATTCACTGAGGCCCTGTGTCTAAATAAGATACAAAATAGGGCTGGGGATATGGCTTAGTTGTTGAATGCTCCTGAGCTCAATTCCTAGTACAAAARAAAAAAAAAAAAATTAGGGTAACATTTGAATTTTTCTCTCTTTTAGTGATGGGAGTTAATTTATGTGGGCTAGGAGCCCCCATAACTGCATTTGGAATGCTAAGTAATGCCTCAAAATTTCCTTACCTCTTGGGTTTCAGGCCTTTCAAATAAATATTTGTTCTTTTTTAGACTGATAGTCTTTCTCTTTGACAAAATATTTAAGCAATCTGTTTCACAATTTTGTCATCAAAAATTCCCTGTTCTAGTTAGGGGGCTTTCTGTCCCTGAATGCAATTTTAAAAGCCCCTTTTTGCTGTCCTTAATGTCTTTTACAAGCTGCAGCTCTCCTGATTGTTCTTGCCAAATTATGCCATTGTTCTGTTTGTCCTTGGTTATGTGGCTCTTCTTCCATCTTTTATATTTATCCCATTAAATCTGAGTTAATCAGAATGGTCTCTAGTGAGTTTTTTTTGGTTTCTCTGAATATTACTCTTTTCTTAACTGTGAACTTTTTTTTTTTTGGTACCAAGGATGGAACCCAGGGACCACATTCCCCATCCCTTTTTAATAGTTTATTTATAGACAGGGTCTTGCTGAGTTGCCATGGGTTTCACTAAGATGCTGAGGCTGACTTTAAACTCACAATCCTCCTGCCTCTGCCTCCTGAGCCCCTGGGATTACAGATGTGCACCACCACACCAGGCTTAATTGTGAACATTTTTATTTTGTAGGTAGAGGATTGAATCGAGGTCCTTGCACATGCTAGGCAAGCACTCTATCATTGAAATCTATCCCCAGTCCTAGAATTTCTTTTTGAGATCTTTTCAAACTTCAGTAATTTCTCTTTAGGGTATTAAATATGTGGTCTGATTTTGGTCAGTATTCCCTTTCTAAGCTGATTTTCCAAATGAGCATTAACTTTCTCCAAGACTGCTATTCCTTCTATTTTACCAATCAGTTCCCTCTTGAGAATGAGAACAGGTCTAGAATAACCATGTTGATTGTTCCTCTATGGAAATGCTTTGGCAAAATGGTGGTTTATGATTTAAAAAGGAATTTGTGTGGGGGGGAGTGGATTCTGGGGATTGAGTCCAGAGTCACTGAACTACATCCCCAGCTCTTTTTATTTTATTTTGAGGCAGAGTCTAGCTAAATTTTCCAAGCTGGCCTGGAACTTATGATCCTCCTGCCTCAGCCTCCCAAGGTGTGTGCCATCCTGCCCAACTTGATTTCATGACCAAGTGTTTTAGAACTGCTATGGTAAGAAATATATACTAAGCTGGGCATGTGGCACATGCCTCTAATTCCAGTGACTTTGAAGGATGAGGTGGCAGGATCACAATTTGGAGGCTAGCTTCAGCAATTTAGGGAGACCCTGTCTAAAAATAAAAAAAGGACTGGGGATGTAACCTAGTGTTAAAGTACAGGGGAAGGGAAAGGAAGAGAAGGGAATAGGACTAAATCCAGCAAAATTATTTATTAGGGAATAAATGGTATGTTCAATATAATAAGGGAGAGTTCAAGAATGATCATATATTTTGTGAAACTGGGTAAGTAAAACTCACTTAGATTTTCCACTACAGTGTTAAAACTGGAGAAACAGAAGGACCCAGGTGGTTATGTTCCAATGATTACTTCCTCCAATTGTGCCAACTTTTATTGGTGACAACATAGTGATCTCTGTTTCTCCTTGTGAAAGAAGTTATAATTGTTTTCTCCTCTCAGCTCTAACAGTGATGAAGTCTGATAAAAGGAGGGACACTTCTTAAATAAATGTCTGTTTTTTTATATTTCATTTTTCAATTTTGCAGTATTGGGGAATGAACCCAGGGCTTCATGCATGCTAGGAAGGCATCCTAACACTGAGCTACACCCCAGCCTAGTTTTCAAAATAAAAAGTGAAAGCAAGGAATTTGAAAACTGTTTTTTTTTTTTTTTTTTTTTTAAATAGTGCCTATTTCAGCTTGGTGCAGTGGTGCACACCTGTAATCCCAGCAACTCTGGAGGCTGAAATAGGAGGATCTCGAATTCAAAGCCAGCCTCAGCAAAAGCAAAGCTCTGAGTAACTCAGTGAGACCCTGTCTCTAAATAAAATACAAAATAGTGCTGGTGATGTGGCTCAGTGGTCAAGTGTCCCTGGGTTCACTCCCTGGTACCAAAAAATAAAATAAAATAAATAATGCCTATTTCAGAATTAGTGTATGTTTTCATTGCCAAGATGGACACTCTGCTATGGGGTCAATTTTTCCGTTTTTAAATTGTCTTTATGTGTTTCTTTGTAGCTGGTCTCTTCCTATGGCAATGTCCATTTGCCACCGTGGTACTGGTGTGGCCTTAAGTGGAGGTATGTATGTGCATTTTTATACACGCATACACACACACACACTTCTTTGAAGAACTGCTATTTCTGTGACTCTTGTCACTCACCGTCTTATGCAACTCAGAGATTGATGAGTCTTTTTTTTTTTTTTTTTGATACCGGGGATTGAACCCAGGGGCACTTAGCCACTGAGCCATATCCCCAGCCCTTTTTATTTTTTATTTTGAGACAAGATCTCTCCAAGTTGCTTAGGGCCTCACTAAGTTGCTGAAGCTGGTTTTGAACTTGGTGATCCTCTTGCCTCAGCCTCCCGAGTCACAGGGATTAGAGGCCTAGATATAACGAGTCCCTTTAAGTTCCTGCATTCATCATTTGTTATGATATCTTGGTACTGGGGATTGAACCCAGGGGCACTTTACCACTGAGGTATGTCCCCACYCCTTCTTAATTAGTTAATTTATTTTGTATTAATGCATTATAGTTATACATAATAGGTTAATTTTGACATATTCATACATGCATATTACATAATTTGCTTCATTTCGATCCATTACTTCCCCTTTCTCTTTCTGCGGCCCCGTTGCCTTCTTCTACTTTACTTTTTTGTTGTTATTTTGAGGTGCTAGGGTTGAACCCAGGCCTTGTGCATGCTAGGCAAACACTTTGCACSTAAGCTATACCCACCAGTCTAACTCAACCCTTTTTTGTTTTTTACTTTTTTCTTTTAATGTAAGTTTTATTTACTTTTTTTAAAATCTAAAAAAAAAAATTTTAGTTGTCAGTAGAACCTTTATTTATTTATTTACTTATTTATATGTGGTGCTGAGAATTGAACCCAGTGCCTCACATGTGCTAGGCAAGTGTGCTACTACTGAGCCCTAGCCCCAGCCCTCCAGCCCTATTTTCTTATTTTGAGATAGGGACTCACTAAGTTGTCCAGGCTAGGCTCCAACTTGTTTTCTTGGGTCAGCCTTCTGAATAGCTGGTATTATAGCTGTGTGCCACTGCATTCAGCAAAAATGGCCATTACTTCTTTGCTTTTTTTTTTTTTTTTAATTAGGAATTGAACCCAGGGCCTCGTACATGCCAAGTAAATGTTTATCATTGAGCTGTATTCCCAGCCTTCATCCATTTCTTGTTTTTTTCATGGTACTAGGGATAYAACTCAAGGGTATTCTACCACTGAGCCACATCCCCAGCCCTTTTAATTTTAAAATTTTTAAATTTATATGTTTATTTGGTATTGGGGATTGAATATGGGGGTGCTTTATCATTGAGCTATATCCCTAGCCTTTTTTGTTTTTATTTTGAAATGGTCTCACTAATTTGTTAAGGCTGACTTCAAACTTGTGATCCTCCCGCATCAGCCTCCCAAGTTTTCTGAGGGATTATATGTGTGTGCTACCACACCCAACTTTATTTATTTATTTATTTTTGTTTTGGGGTAGGATCTCACTAAATTGCCTTGGCTGATCTGGAATTTACAAKCCTCCTGCATTGGTCTCCCAGGTGCTGGGATTATAGCATGTGCCATCATGCCCAGCTCCTCATTCACTTATTTATTTATTTTTGGATACTGGGGATTAAACTTGGGGCTACTCAACCACTGAGCCACATCCCCAGCCCTTTCTTATATTTTATGTAAAAATAAGGTTTCACTGAGTTGCTTAGGGCCTCACTAAGTTGGGGCTAGTTTTGAACTCATAATCTTCCTGTCTCAGCCTCCTGAGCCATTGGGATTACAGGTGTGTGCCACCACTTTGGCTTCCTGGTTCATTCTTTTTTATCAATTAATTATGAGTGCCTGCTATGCTCAGGTTCTTTTCTTAGGTTTGAAAGCTACTTGATTGAGAGGAAGCACAGAGAGGTTATAGAGGCCTGCATAGGTAAATCTGAATTTATT